AAATTCCCTTGTGGATTGTGAGATATGAGCCTCTGAAGTAAGACATGCGCAACAGAAATCTTCTCTTCGGGAACGCGAGACTCTCTTCGCGAACGCGGAGAAAGAAATCCCAGATGCCAAATCCTTCTTTGCGAATGCGAGAGGATCCTCATGAACGCGAAGAACAACACCAGACACCAGCATCAGTCATTGCAAAACAACTCGAAATGATCCGAAACCACCCCGAAACATACTTGAGGCCCCCGGGGCCCCGTCCAAACATACCAACAAGTCCCATAACATAACACGGACCTGCTCGAGGCCTCAAATCACATCAAACAACGCTAAAACCATGAATCGCACTCCAACCCAAGCTTAATGAACTTTAGAATTTCAAACTTCTATATTCGATGCCGAAACCTATCGAATCACGTCCGATTGACCTCAAATTTTGCACACAAGTCATATTCGACATTACGGACCTACTCTAACTTCCGGAATCGGTCCCGACCCTGATATCAAAAAGTTCACTTCCTATCAAACTCCTCAAAACCTTCAAATTTCTAACTTTAGCCAAATGACTCCAAAATTACTCACGCACCTCCGAATTCACTTACGATCGTGCTCCTAACACCAGAATTACCATACGAAGATATTCCCAGACTCAGAATCCCAAACGGACATCGATAACTCTGATATGTACTTCAACCCAAACTTATAAAATTCCTTAAAAAATGCCAACTTCCATAATAGGTGCCGAAACGTTCCCGGGTCTTCAAAACTCCGATCCGGACATACGCCCAAGTCTGAAATCATCATACGAACCTGTTGGAACCTTCAAATCTCGATTCCGAGGTTGTTTACTCAAAAATCCAATCTTAGTCAATTCTTCCAACTTAAAGCTTTTGAAATGGGAATTCTTTTTCCAAATCAACTCCGAACTTCCCGGAATTCAATTCCAACCACGCGTACAAGTCATAATACCTGAAGTGAAGGTGCTCATGGACTCAAATTGCTGAACGACGCGTTAGAGCTCAGAACGACCGGTCGGGTCGTTATAATTACTTTATATTAATTGTTATAAATTGGTTAAATACTTTGTTAAAGTCGGCTTGCCTACTAAGTGTATGTTAGGTGCCATCACGATCCTGAGGCTGGGAATTGTTTGACCAAAAAGTGTTAAGCCTTTTAGTTAAACTAATTAAATAAAATGATAACGGATAAATTCTAGTAAAATATAATAAGTCCTAGATCTAAGATTGGGGGATAACAATAATATAAAACCACATTCAAGTCTATTAAATATCAAGGGGATGTTTAATGATATTGCTATGAATGAATGAGGGGATAGTGGCAAGCAATGAATATGATAAATGGCAATAAATGTAAATAGAGGGAGCGATTCACCCAAATATTCAATGAAGTGGATGATTCTCCCTCTGACAGTGATGTAAGGTAGCCAAATGTGGGAATATAGAAAACTTTATCGGATCTGATGTGCAAAAGTATGGGACAAACAACAAACCGAATCTTGTGTAAAGATAATATTTGTAGTTACTTGAGAATTAACTTTTTTAGAGAGAGCATATCATATAGAATATTACATATCCCTCTCTTTCTCTCTCTCTCTCTCTTCCTACTTATATGGGACATATCCCTTACCTACTGAAAGTGCAGGTGCTTTAAAATATCTTATTACTAAACTAGCCGTTTGGCCGATCTGAGTGCTCGACCTCGACCTTAGCTACTCGGCTCGCCAA